GTCCCCCTCCCCCCCCCCCCCGTCGTTTGCCATTCCTCCAGTGGCTGCCTTCGCTTTGCCTCAGCCTCTTCAACCCCTCGTCACTCTCATTAGCTGTGTAATTTACTGCCTGCCTCAACTATGCTAGTTCCATCGCCGAGATCTGGCTGCAAGCTGGAAATTTTCTGTCAAAACATGCTAACAAGTTCTGGCTTGTGGGAAGGATCTCTTTTCTGGTGTTCCATCACTCTGCTCTGTTTCAGTCGACTTCTTTACCTATGCCTCAGCTGCCTGAGGTGAGGATCACCATTGCAAGGCAGGGCAGAGGCATGACCCACACTGGTATTTTCACCATCATGGTTATTTCAGGTCCATGCAGAGCACGCTGAGAGGTAATAAACAGAAGCTCTTTCTGTGTACCTCTTGCTATGCTCTTGCTCCACGTTTGTTTATTTTTTTGGCTAGGCCTGGTGGTGGTGGTGGGTTTTTTTCTTCCCCAAATCCGTCTACTTCCCCTTCACTTGAGTTTTAAGGTACAACTCCTCACTTCCCTACTTATTCTGATTTTCTTTCCTGCCCTAAGTCTGCTTTCTACAAGCTGTCTCCAAATACACTGCAGAACTTTTCATCTGTAGTCTCTTGCCCAGGCAGCTTCTCATCTTTGTTTTCTGCACATAATCCTTACTCATGGACTGCCAACCTCTCTCTCTCCACCTGTGTTTTTACAATTTGAAGAGACTGTACGGGCATTAACACATTTATTTGGGCACTGTGGTACCTTTTATCCCTTCTGCCGATTGGAAGCCCCTCTGTGAGCACTTTTTAGAAGCACTTGGAGCATTCAAAGCACGGTGGAGGTGTCTTCTTTCTGCAATAGTACCTTGACTGTTTCTTAGCTAAGCTTTTTCCAACTTTTTTTTTCCCCCCTTTAGGTGGCCACTGCAACAGTGTACTACACCCGAGAACATTGCCAAACTGTTGTGACCAAGGCCTGGCCTTACTCAGCGTCATCTTCTCCACTCTGGATTATCTCCATGATGCTTTGCTTTCATACAGTCCTTTGTCTCCTGTGCCGAACAGCCCTGAACTGCCTCAGCCAGATGGCTCCACTTTGCTAAACATTCCTGTCTTGCTTGTGAGTGCGAAATGAGGACTGTGCAGCTGCAGAAAAATGTGTTCTTTTGCCTTTCCCCCCTTTGCAGTGCCTCTCTGGCAGGAGGGGAGGGATTGGAAGGTGGAGGAGACTGAATGAGAGGGAATGTGGCTCCTTCACTGCTGGTTTTTAAGGCACCAAGAAGGAAAAGATGAAATCACCCGGGCTGCCCTCCCCTTGCTCACTGCAAGCCTCTGTGCAAAACGCCAGCACCTGCGTTGGCTGAGCTACAGAGCTACAATGAGATGCAAGCAGAGGAGGAGAAAAGCTTTTGTTGTCTCCTTCCCTGTTTTTTTATCTCAAAATCCACCCCAAAGGGGAGCTGTGGGCCCTTGCGCGTTCCTCAACAGCCCCACTCCTGCCTGACTGGGAGGAAGGGGACAGCGCAGGCGAGGGAAATTCATCGTCAGGGAGTCTCGCTTCAGCGGGGGGGCTGCCGTCAGGGTCAAACTCTGATTGCATAGAACGCTATCATCAGCATAAAATCATAAAATAAGTACTAAACACTGTTAATAAGTACTAAGCATTTTCAGTGCCTTTCCTGCCCTTCCAGGTGCTGTGCCCTAGTAGGATTCCAACCGGTTTGTGAATTTCCCCCCCCCAAAGCCATTCAACGCGATTACATCTTTCTGCAGCCCTAGAGCTTTTACAGATTTGCCCACAGCATTGGGTTTTGAGTGTATGGCACAGCTTGCTGTTTAAACCCCGCCA